AATAGACTCCTGATATCGTCTGTCTCTATGAGGTGAAGATCTACTGCTACTACCTCTCATGTGTGAAGGCGGAGGAAAACTGAGTAAAAAACCACGCCCACCTCTCTACCGCCCCTCACCTTTGACGATGGCGTACTCTAGCTCAGCGTTGGCGCCCTTGTCCCTGTCGACGGCGACCACCTGCACCACGGCCGTGCCCACCGCCGCCGTCTCCAGCACACGCCCGTCAAACATGTCCGAGACGAACTCCGGCGCGTGGTCGTTGTCGTCGTCGACGTCCACAATGACGCGGGCGCGGGTGACGCGTGACGGCACGCCCCCGTCACGTGCCGTCACCGTGACGATGTGCTGCGACATAGCCTCGCGGTCGAGCGCGCCGGACGTCGTTATCACACCTGCGGATGCAGGCGAGTGTTAATTAATACACCTGGGCAAGATCGTTATCACACCTGCGGATGAAGGTGGGAGATGGATTCTTAGTTATGACACCTGGAAGTAATCGTTATCACACCTGCAGATGCAGGTGAGAGATGGATTCTTAGTTATGACACCTGGAAGTGATCGTTATCACACGTGGTCATTTAATTAACATACCTGGAAACCATCATTATCATACCTGCATTACGTGACCAGTTAACCAAATTATGCAGCAGCCAAACCAGTGACCAAATTATCAACTCTACTACACTTTGTTGCCAAGCAGCATTTTTAGAACTCCCTATCGCGATGCCGATTGGTTAAAACTGGCCGCCAATCATTCCAGGCGGACGGATACGTCAAGTCTTGAATACGTCATTAGACTAACTATCTCGAACGGACGGGCAGCGCGGGGCAGGTAGAGCGTACCTGTGATGGGATCGATCGTGAAGAGGCTGAGGCTGAGGTCGTTCATCGCCGCGGCAACCGTGTAGAAAAGATGGCGGTTGTCGTCGCTGTCGGACGCCGTCACCGTGCCGACGCTCGCGCCGACCTGCGCGTCCTCGTGCGTCGTGAACACGTACGTGTCCTCGCTGAAGCTAGGGGGCGCCTCGTTCACGTCCACGACCTCGACGTACACCTGCAGGGGCGAGAAGGCGTTCACTTGTCATGACGCGTGGCGGAACGCGCGCGATTCGGTTTCGCGAGTGCTCGTAAACGATTGGGTTACGGGGGGGGGGGGGGGGCTGTATTTTAATTAACTGTATGAGTTCGGAGTTGGATGTTTGTGAGTGTGAGTGTTGTTCACAAGTGTAGAGGTTGTTCACCAGTCAGTGTAGGTGTTCATGAGTGTAAAGGATGTTCATGTGACAGTGGATGTTCATGAGTGTGGATGTTCACGACTGGATATTCGCGAGTATGAATGTTCAAGACTGGAAACATTCGTGAGAATGTGCATTAATGTTAATTTTTATTGTTTGATAATGTTATTATTTAATAATTAAAAAATAATTAATAAATATTTTATTATGTTATTGTATAATATATGTTTTTAATGACATATGTGCGCCGTGACGTCACCGTGACGTCACCGTGACGTGCGTAACTTCACAGCATCAGTAACGTCACGACAGCGGCACGGCGGCAGGGTGGGCATCGATGGAGGCTTACCCACGTCGACACGGTGTGCACGTTGTCGGTGACGCTGATGGAGAGAGCGTAGCGACTCTGCGTCTCCCAGTCTAGCGGCCGCGCCAGCAGCAGACTCGCTCCGTTCATGCTGAACACGTCGTTCTTGTTCCCGCCTGCAGCAGCAAATACATGGCCGAGTGTAAGTGTACATGTACGTGTAATTATGTGCGTAAACATATACTATATATATATATACATATACACATATAATATGGCTGAAAATCCCAGCCAGTCTTGATTACGAAAATTTTCCAAGATTTCCAACACT